TGCCAAGCCACGTGCCACTGAGGCCTCAGCCGTGGGGGCAAGGGGGGGCTACCAAGCGAGGGCTGAAGGTGAAGGGGCACAGGGCAAGGGCAGGACTTGGTGCAGTTTCCGTAGGTCCGTCGTGTCCAGTCCCTTCCTCCTCTCCCCTCCTCCTGCCAGGCCTCGGGAAGGCTGCAAACCCCCGGAAGTACTGACGCTAGTGAGCCACACCTGCTCCTCCTGCTCTACCATCTAGTTCTGCCGCTGCTGCTTCAGGAGAAACTCCAGGTCTTTCATATCCTCTCGGCCTGCTCAGGAAATTACCCCCTCGCCCATTTTCCCACCTGGCCTGTGAGGATGGGACAAACACAGATGTAGGCAGCAGCTAGGTAGGAGGAAAAAAGGAAACGGGGAAAAGACCGGAGGGAGACGGGGAGAGGGAGTAAATCAAGGACGCCGCGAGAGGAGACTGGGATGAAGAAAGAGGGCAGCACACCGGCCCCCTGGCAGATCTGTCACAGCTTGGCCTGCGAAGTTCGAGATTTGAAGTCCCCTAACTGTGAATGTGTACTGGCCATCATCAGGTGTGAAGCAGGAGTTAAAGCCCTTGAGTTGGCGAGTCCACTTTCTGCTGCAGGGCTTACTGCCCAGGGGCTGCCTCCATTCCTAACTGCTGCCCACCCTTCCAGGGTCCAGTGCGCCCGACACGGTAATAAAGCGCTGGCCATGCTTGGACCACCCTCAATGTTTGCTTGATTGCTTGTGTTTTTTTTTTTAAAGCTTTATTTCCAGAATATTTATTAATCACCTTGGTTTTTGTATCACTGAATTTAGACTTTTTAAAATTTATAAATGGGGGCACCTGGGTGGCTCAGTCGGTTAAGCGGCTGCCTTCGGCTCGGGTCATGATCCCAGGGTCCTGGGATCGAGCCCCATGTCGGGCTCCCTGCTCAGCGGGGAGTCTGCTTCTCCCTCTGCCTCTGCTCCTCCCCGCTAGCCACTTCTGTTGCATGCCTAAGAACAGTCTTCCAAACCATCCCCTGTTCCATATCCCCACTGTTGCTGTTGCCCGTACTGCCAAGGGGTCCTTGTCCTGGACTCAGGGCTGAGGGTATCCCACTCTGTCTTTCCTTCAGCTTTACTGTTCCGTATGTGCTGAGGAGTCTCTAGGGCCAAGGAGATGTGCCCACCCTGCTCATCATGTTCTAGCTACACAGGACCCCAGATTTCCCTGCAACAGGCCTTTTTCTCAGGTTTGTTCTTGTAAGAGTGGACCGCATCCCTGGTGTGTACTCGCCAGGCTCAAGGGGTTGCCAAGGGGCAGATGTTTGGAAAGCAGGAAAGCTTGGAGTCAGACCTTCAGGTCCCCGTGCATACATGTGATGATTTTGTAGACCAGAGCCAGAGGTCAGAAGAGAAGGAGGATATGCAAGGTCTTCCATTCGTACTCTTATCACCAGCCCCACAGGCATTAGGGTGGGACTAATTATTGCCTTATTTTTCTTTATATTCCTGGTACATGCTGATAGGTGATGCTTCAACTACCCCTAAGGACTCTAAGGGCAAGGACTTTAGCTTTTTAATTTTATATTCCCATATACTTATGCCTATCACAATGCCTACCCAATACATGTACTTAGTACATGTTTGTTGAATAAGTTAAACAACACAGCTTGTATTGAACAATTTATAATTATTTCCTCTCCTTTACTGTCATTGTAAAGAGTTTATTGTAATATTAGTATGATTTTAGTTTTATGACTGCCCTTTTTTTCCCCAGAAAAAAACATATCCCTAATTTTGTATTATCATTAAATGGGAAAACTAGATTTTAGATATAAAACTGAATTTTATTTTTAAATATATTTTTACAAATTAATTTCATAAAATAGGATTAGTTAATGGTAGGTAACAGAAAACAGGGTCAGGCAAACATGAAAATCTTGATTTTGCAGGACAGTAGTTCTTATAACAAGTTATATTAGTAACTGCCACACCCTGAGGGATTCTAGAATACAAGTTATGAGAAAGAGTAAGACCATGTTCTGGAAAACGTAAAGATGCTGGTAAGAGCAGGGACTGGGTTTCCCTGCCAGGTTTCCCATGAATTCAGGGGGGAACCCCAAGATCCTGTGGGTCCAGTTCCCCTACTGAGTTCATTTGTGAGGAATGTGTTTGTGCATGATGACTTTTAATGCAAAATGCACATAATCATTAGAATAATTTTAAATACCAAATCAGCATGTTTTATTTTATTTTTTTAAAGATTTTACTTATTTGATAGAGACACAGCGAGAGAGGGAACACAAGCAGGGGGAGTGGGGGAGGGAGAAGCAGGCTTCCCACTGAACAGGGAGCCCAATGTGGGGCTGGATCCCAGGACCCTGGGACCGTGACCTGAGCTGAAGGCAGACACTTAATGACTGAGTCACCCAAGTGCCCCAAATCAGCATGTTTTAATTCACAAACTGATTTTTCACTATGGTAATTCATGTTTTAGGTTGGCCGCCCAAATTCAGTGACCTTGTGGACTTAGAACCTATCTGAAATGTCCTTAGTGCTGATATACCTGCTTTGGATACTATTTTTATCACAAGCTCACACATTCTGTGACTCATGTTTGCTGCTTAAAAAAATAGTCTATTCGGGATGCCTGGGTGGCTCAGTCGGTTGATCGTCTGCCTTCAGCTCAGGTCATGATCCCAGGGTGCTGGGATTGAGTCCCACATGGGGCTCCTTGCTCAGTGGGGAGCCTGCTTCTCCCTCTGCCTGCCTCTCCCCCTGCTTGTGTGCACTCTCTCTGACGAATAAATAAATAAAATCTTTAAAAAAAAATCTATTCATGATTCCACTGAGAGTTAACACATAGTTAAGCCATGGCAATGATTTGAGTTTTGTGCCTTAATTCTCTCAGGATTCATAATGTTTTATCATGTTTTGTTTTGTTGATAGTTTGTTTATTCTGTGTTCGCTTTCTACTCTTAACATTTTTAGGCATAATAAAATTTACTCATTCCAGCCCTTCTCCTCCTAGATGAGATGAGTCTTTCAGGAACACCTCATTAAAGGTATTAAATATCAAAGCAGTTACTCTGTGCGCCATCATGCACTGTCTGTTGTGCCATCATGAATCATGAGTAAAACCACTCAATGATAATTGTTGGAAGAGTATTTCTGTGATGAAATTGCTCTGTTATAGCTTGGGATCCACTGGTGTTTGGAGTAGGAATTTGGTTTCATAAAGAGTTTGAATTGTTTTTGTCATCTAGAAAATAGTTCCCCTTTCACAAGAAGATTTTTGAAATGTCTTCAGTCTTAATTTAGTAGTAGTAATGATTCTGGGAGCTCTTTTTGCCTTCACAATAAGTTTTCCAACATTTACAAAGATTTGAGCAGACCTAATTCACATATTTCACTTCCCACACACTTACGCCTCTAAGGTAGGGCCCTACCTCTTTCCCATATGCCTGTTTAAAAAACTTTTCCTAAGTCTCTTAACTGGCAATTATTTAAAAAAAGGGGGGGGGAGACTTGATATCATGGTGATTGAATAGCGAAATGGGGGAAAAAGTAGTATCACATACATGTCACACATACTGTTCCTTCCCTTTCGTCTACCTCCAAGGCAGGAGAGGTTGACTTGCCTCCCTTTCTTGGGTATGCTTTTTGGACTTCCGGTTTCTCTTTTCCTTCAAGGCTACTCTTGAATGAGAATATGTATGTTGGGGGTGGAGGGAGCAATGGGAGAAGAGGGTTTGGTTGGCAAGGAACAGGATAGAGCACTAAATAGAATACTGAGAAGAGATGAGCAAGAGAACAAATGGAATAGAAGCAAGAAACTACTCTTTACTAACCCTTGCAATTAAAGCCCCAGAGTACTGGGACTGGAAGGAACACAGTGCTCCTGTAATTACGGTAGTTTAACCTAACAGATACTCAATAGATAGATATTGAATTTAGAGGAATCTCATTTTGCAGGAGAAGAAATGGAATCCCACAAAGATACATTGCCCAGAACCATTCAACTAGTTAGTTGCAGAGCTGGACCAGAACCCAAGCCCTCCAATTCCTCAACCACTTCCTTTTCTATTAGAAGATACTATAATGATGGTTTTCGTTTTTTTTATTCTTTTTTTAATTCCTGTCACCTGACACAGAGTAGGCATGAAATGTTTTATATCATTTTATTATTATTTCTTTCATCATGACAAGTGCACTCCTTAACTCCCATCACATATTTCCCCCACCCCCGACCCCCTACCCACCTCCCCTCTGGTAACCATCAGTTTGTTCTCTATAGCTAAGAGTCTGTTTCTTGGTTTGTCTCCCCTTTTTATTTTTGCCCTTTGCTCATTTGTTTCTTAAATTCCACATATGAGTGAAATCATATGGTATTGTCTTTGACTTACTTCACTTAGCATAATACTCTTTAGCTCCATCCATATCATGGCAAATGGCAAGATTTCATTCTTTTTATGGCTGAATACTATTCCATTGTGCTTTTTAAAATACCACATTATTTTAAGACATGTTGAGCTCAACCATATTATTTGTTTGAATGGCTGGTGGCACTTACTAGGTCTGTTTATGAGTGGCAATCTACTAGAAAGAATAGGAATTTTGGAGTCAACCTGGGTCCAAATCTCTGTTTTGCCCATTAGCACTTGGGCAAGTACCTTAATCTTTCTAAACAGAGGCTTTAACATCTCAACAAATAAAAATAATAGTAGCTACCACATAGGGTTGTTGTAACGAATGAAACAAGGTTATTTGGAGTATTTAGTGTGGCATGTGGCATAAATCAGAGGCTTCAGTAAATATTTGCGAAATGAATAAGGGTAACTATTACTGTGTTTGGTCTCCCTCATGGGGAGTCGCATGCTTTACCTTGCAGACGTGTCCTGTTTTTTACAGACATGTATCCTTAATGCCAGAGTTAAACTGCAGTTTGGCTAACTTCTTCTTACATAGAAATGTCTGCTTCAGCTGCCTCACAGCCTTCTAATTTTTTTTAATTCCAGACTAATCCATGGAGGACAGTTGTTAAATGGATTGGCAGGTCCAACGGTAATGAACGCAGCCCCGTTCCTCTCTACGACGTGGTTTTCTGCAGATGAACGGGCCACCGCCACAGCCATTGCGTCAATGCTCAGTTACCTTGGTGGAGCATGCGCATTTTTAGTTGGGCCACTGGTCGTTCCAGCCCCCAATGGGACATCGCCTCTTCTTGCTTCAGAGACGAGCAGGACCCACATTAAAGATCTCATAGAGACTGTATTGTATGCAGGTATTGTGCAGTTTATTTTCTTCCTGCTCTACTTCGTCTTTATCCCAGTCCTCTTTACTCCACCCTGTATACCAGATCACTTCTTATGAAACACTTAAGAGGACCAAAATATACATATGCACATGTGTGCTTTTCTTGTCATGGAATATGGAGATGCCTATGTAAAACTTATCCTTTCTAGGAAGTTATTAAGTTTAAAATGTATTATTGCTGCATAGAAGTTTATTTCTTAATTTTATTCTTCCCATACATTTACAACTAGGCACTGTAGAACACATTGTCTAGTGTCTTTTCTAGATACCTTATCAGAATAGAAAACTAAACATCATGATCCACAATAAATATTTGTTAACCATCTATTGGTAGCTGTTAAGCCCATTTTCTCCCTTGCAGTTTCCCCACTCCTCTCTGACCTGGTAAACCCAGGTCACCCACAGTTTATTCTTCTCTTCGTATCGTATCCTCTCTATGTTTAGTCTATTAAAAAGGGATATTGACCTTTCCAAAACATTTTCTTGGTCCTTTCTCTTTATTTCTAGGGTTAAGCCCTACTCCACACTTACATTACAGTCTCCTACAGACTCCTCCGCCCTGTATGCCTGTTTGTTATTTCCTTCTGCGTTCAGAAAACTCTTTGTAAGTTTTTATATGTACTAAGCACTGTGCTAAGTACTGGGAGTTGGTAAGATCACTGAGAAGACCGTTGCTATACAAATAGATATACAGAGCTTGAGAGACCTAACTTGCCTGAGTTTGGAGAGACGTTGAGGAGTTGGGGAAGACTTCACCAAGAATATGATAATTGAAGTTAAGAATTTCATAGGAGTTCTCCAAGTGTTCAAGTGAGGTAGGGCATTCTGTATAGAAGGAATAGCCACTGCAAGGGCAGATATGGTATGAGAGAGCTCCATATGTCCAAAGAACTGCACATAATTTCATATGGCTGAAGTAGTGTAAGTATGTGTGTTTGGGTGTCGGTAACAAGTGGCAGAAGATGAGGCTGGAGAGATACGGGACCATATTATGATGAACTTTGTATTTATTCACTTATTAATTGAACACATCTATTTGGACCTCCTATGTATCTGTCCTTGTGCTAGACACTGAGGTAGACATGGTTCCTGCTTTCATAGAACTTAGAGTGTCCCAAAGGAACAGACAGGTAAACAGTTGTAAAACAGGGTGGTAAGTGCTATAACCAAAGGCTGACAGTTGCTCTGAGACCTCAGGAGGAGCACCTAACCTAGATTTTGGAGGTCAAGTAAAGCTTCCTGGAGATGCAGCATCTAAGGTGGAGCCTGAGGGATGAGAGGAAGTTAACCAAATACAGTGGGCAGGAGGAAGAACATACTAGAAAGAGAGGGAGCCATGGAGGAGAAGGTTTGTAAGGGATGAGAGCTTGGTATATTCAAGCAACGCAGAGCCCAGAGTGGCTTAAACTTGGTGAGAGTAGTGACAGATAAAGTTAGAGAGCTAAGCCAGGCCATACAAGCCTTCTAAGCAGGGCTAATGGGCTTGAAATTCACTACCTTGTAGGCAAAGGCCACACTCTGAAGCATTTTACACGAGAGAATTATGCAATGAGATTTACATTTCAAAATGTGTTTTAGAGGGAGTAAAGCAAAAGCAGAGGCTGTGGCATAAATGAAGCATTTAAACCCCCCCACCCTTATACAACTCCTTTTAAAGGAAAAAAATTGAGGGGCATCTGGTTGACTCAGTTGGTGGAGCATGTGACTCTTGATCTCGGTGTTGTGAGTTCAAGCCCCATGTTGGATGTAGAGATTACTTAAAAATAAAATCTTGAAAAAATAAAATAAGTTTTTCTTTGTTTAAAAAAAAAATGAAGTTTAAAAGTAAATAAATAAAACTGAAAGCAGTGTCACATAAATTTTAAACTTTATTTTGGTCATATCATTCTTCTTGCTGAAAACTTACACGATAATTGTGTCTTTTAAATGACTGGATTTTAAGCACTTTGGGGCACGTATTAGTGCTCTACATCCTTCTGGTTCATGGTTCCAGTGAAGCCGAAGCCTCCCAGTTATTGCTTCAGTGCTTTCATATTTGTCAGTCTTCTTTCCTGAAATATTGTCCCATGACCCTTCATTCCTTTAAAAATATTTTGCTAGAATTGCCACATTAAAAGATTAATGACTCTTAAATTATTTAAAAGGTATCAGAAGAAAAGTAAACTACAGACCCAAAAATCCTGAGCAAAATGCTGGCAAACCAATTCTAACAACATATAAAAAAGGATTATATACTGTGGCCAAATGAGATTTATTCCTAGGATGCAAGGTTGGTTTAACATCTAAGACTCAGCTAACGTATATATCAATAGAATAAAGGAGAAAAAAACATGTGATCATCTTAATAGGGGGAGGGGCATTTGACAAATCCAACACCCTATCAAGATAAAAACACTCAACATATTAGTCCGTAGGAGCTCCCTCGGCCTAACAAAAGGTATCTATGAAAAACCCACAGAAAAGATCATATTCAATGGTCAAAGACTAAAGGCATTCCCACTGAGATCAGGCATAAGACGAGGATGTCTACTCCTGCCCTGTCTAGTTAATATTGTGCCAGAGGTTCTAATCAGGATCACTAAATAAGAAAAAGAAAGAAAAGGCCTGTAGACTGCAAAAGAAAAAATAGAACTATTTCTATTGAAAACAGCTTGATCCTGATAGAAAATCCTCTGAAATCCACTACAGAACTACCAGATCTAACAAGTTCATCCTAAAAACACAGATTTCAGGTGCAAGAAAATGTGTTGTATTTCTATACATTAACAATGAACAATCCAAACATGAAATTAGGAAGATAATTCAATTTACAATAGCCTCAAAAAGAATAAAATATTTAGGAATAAATTTAACAAAATAAATATAAAACTTGCATTCTGAAAATTATAAAACACTGTTGAAAGAAATTAAAGAACACCTAAAGAAATGGAGACATCCCATATTTGTGAGTTGGAAAGTTTAATATTGTGAATATGGTAATATTCCCCAAATTGATCGACATATTCAGTACAATCCACCTACCTTTGTTGCAGAAATTGAAAAGCTGATCCCCCCCAAATAAAATTAAATAAATAAAAAAGGTATTGACAAGCTGATCCCAAAATTTATGTGGAAATGCAGGGGACTCAGAATAGCCAAAACAGTCTTGAAAAAGAACAAAGCTGGAGAACTCACACTTCCCAATTTTAAAACTTACTACAAACTCAGCTTCACTAATTAAGACAGTAGGGTATTGGCATAAGGATTGACATAAATCAATGGAACAGAAGTGAGATTCCAAAAAATGAACCATTACATTTACAGTCAATTGACTCTTCATGAGAGTACCAAGACAGTTTGGGGCACCTGGCTGGCTCAGTTAGAAGAGCATGCAACTCTTGATCTTGGGGTCATGAGTTCGAGCCCCATGTGGGGTGTAGAGATTACTTAAATAAAACTTTAAAAAAAAGGTACCAAGACAATTCAATAGGGAAAGAATAGTATTTTCAACAAATGTTGCTGGAATAACTAGATGTCCATATGCAAAAGAATACATTTGAACCCCTTCCTTACATCATACATAAAAATTAACTCAAAATGGATTATAAACCTAACATAATAGCTAAAAACTCATAGAAGAAAACATAGGAGTAAATCTTTGTGACCTTGGATTAGGTGTGAAATCGTAAAAGCACAAATGACAAAAGAAAAAATAGATAAATTGGATTTCATCAAAATTAAAAACTTGTGTTTCACAGGACACCCATCAACAAAGTAAAAAGACAACCACTTTGAGGATGGGAGAAAATAGTTGTAAATCATATATCTGATAAAGGACTTATATCCAGAATATATAAAGAACTCTTACAACTCAGCAACAAAAAGACAACCAAATTAGAAAATGGGCAAAGGACTCGAATTTCTCCATAGAAGATATACACATGGCCAACAAGCCCGTGAAAGATGCTTGTCATCATTAGTCATTAGGGAAATACAAATTAAAACCATAAGGAGATATACTTCACATCCAGTAGGATGGCTATGATCAATAAAATGGGATGAGGTGCCGGGCTGGCTCACTTGGTAGAGCATTTGACTCTTGGACTCAGGGTCGTGAGTTCAAGTCCCACATTGGGTGTAGAGATTCCTTAAGAAAATAAAATCTTTCAGGGGGCACCTGGGTGGCTCAGTCAGTTAAGCATCTAACTCTTGGTTTCAGCTCAGGTCACGATCCCAGGGTTGTAAGGTTGAGCCCCACATTGGGTTCCGCACAGGAGCAGAGTCTGCTGGAGATTCTCTCTCCCTTTCCATCTCCCTCTTCCCCTACCCCTAATCGTGCTCTCACACACACTGTCTCTCTCAAATAAATAAATCTTTAAAAAATAAAAATCTTTTTTTAAAAATGGGAGATGTTGGTGAACAAGTGGAGAACTTGGAATCATCATATATTGCTAGTAGGAAAATAAAATGGCACAACCACTTTGGTCCTTCATAGTGTTAAACATATATTATCCTATGACCCAGCAATTGCATCTCTAGGTATATACCCAAGTAAAGTAAAAACACATCCATGCAAAAATTTATACACAAATGTCCATAGTAGCATCATTCATAATGGCCAAAAAATGGAAAGACTCCAAATATTTATCAACTTAAGTGGATAAAAAATGTGCTTTATCCATTCAATGGAATATTATTTGACAATAGAAAAGAATGAAAGTACTGATACATGATCCAACATAGTTGAACCTTGAAAACATTATGCTAAATGAAAGCTGCAGGTCACAAAGACCAGATAGGATTCCATTTATATGAGATGTCCATTATACTCAAATCCAGGGAGACTGAAAGATTAGGGAGTGGTTGCCTGGGGCTGGGAGATTTGGGGGTGGGGGGCTGGGTAATGGGTACAGAGTTTCTTTGGGGGATGCTGAAAAAGTCCTAAAATTGATTGTGGTGATGGTTGCACAATTCTGTGAATATACTAAAATCATTGACTTGTGCACTTTAAATGTGTGAATTGTGTATTGTGCAAATTATCTCTCTGAAGCTGTTTACAAAAATGCCCATAGAGAGAATATGAACAAGGCAATCCCAGAAGAAGAAATACAAATGGCCAATAAGTATATGGAAGATGCTCATTCACTGTTGTTAATTAGAAGATCTGTAAATTAAAACAGTTCGTTAACTTCTTATTGCTCCTCAAACTGACAAAGAACAATGACATTATCTGTGGTTAAATGTCTTATAGGAATATTTTACCTTTTGCTAAGAATATAGCCCTAGAATTGTAATTAAAATTATCCAACTGAGTGGACTCTAGAAATCACTTAGTCCAGTCCCTTTATTGACAACAAAAAATAAAGGATTCATTCAAATTAAAAGTTAATTAATGGCACAGGCAGGTCTCTACTCCAAGTTTCCTAACTTTTCTTTTGGGAGTCATGCTTTTCTACTAAATTGGACACAACAAAAGTTGGGACTTACAAGTGCCAGAACTCTGGAGGGAATGATCAGGACTCCTAGGATCTTTTTCTTATTAATGGTTCCAAATTAAAATTGTTTGGATGTTCATTTTACTTCTAATTGTTTAGTATTTTACAGTAGCTAATCTTTTTATTCATTAAATTTTGCTTTCTGTTTCTTGGTTTCTTATTTTTGGATGGTTTCCTGTTTTGTTCAAATTCCCCATACAGCCTATAAATTGAGTCTGTCCTACACTGTGCTTTGGAATATCCAATCTTTGATCAAATAAACCTTCTCCTATCCTGTTAGTATCATATACTTTCTTTCTGAGTACCATACTTATTATACAGTCAGATCTATTTCAAAATCTTACACTATAATACTGTTGGTTTTTAATGTTCTCCATAGAGTAAATTTGTTTCTGCCTCAGTCTTTTCATCTATGTAGTGTACCATAGTATGACCTCTTACCTATGACCTGCTGAAATTTATATCTTTACATACCTATTTTTTTTTCACAAGACTGAACTAATTTTGCTAGGTATTATATTTTGCTTATCTTTTTATGCCTAGAGCTTAGTTAATGATTTGTTAGATAAATAAATACTTGAAACGTTGAACTTTTTATGTTGTCTGATTAACATTTTATTCTTTTTTTTTTCTCCCCTGCCCTCAGAATTTGGAGTTGTCTGCTTACTGTTTTCTGCAACATTAGTTTATTTCCCACCCCGGCCTCCACTTCCTCCCAGTGTTGCTGCAGCTAGCCAGCGGCTGAGTTATCGGCGGAGCTTTTGTAGATTATTAAGGTAAATACACTTTGAATCACTGAGTGGTTTTGACTAGCACCTTCAAGATAATTTCACATTTATTTAAGGTAATTTAGGATGGTAATTTTTCAGCAACCCATTAATCAGGTTGCAAATAATTGATAAAGTAATTAAATATTTTAGAGCAGTTTCCTATCAGAAATCTGTTTTTAAGATTTACTTGTTAGAGAACACATGCACACGCGCGCAGTGCAGAAGGGTGGAGGGAGAGGGAGAGGGAGAGAGAGAATCCCAAGCAGACTCCGCCCAGAGTGTGGAGCCCACTGTGGGGCTAGATCTCCAGACCCATGAGATGATGACCTGAGCCGAAACCAAGAGTCAGACGCTTAACTGACGAGCCACTCAGGCGCCCCCATCAGAAATCTATTTTTAAAAATCACCAAAAACAGGGGCATCTGGGTGGCTCAGTCAGTTAAGCATCTGCCTTTGGCTCAGGTTATGATCCCAGAGTCCTAGAATCAAGCCCCACCTTGCTTTGGGCTCCCTGCTCAGTGGGGAATCTGCTTGTCCCTCTCCCTCTGCCCCCCACCCTGCTCATGCTCATGCTCTCTCTCAAATAAATAAATAAAATCTTAAAAAAAATTAAAAAAATAAAAATGGTTTTCTTTTTGTACACAAATCGAAACCATTTTATAGCTGGCCAAAGTGATAGCTCAGATCTGTGAAAAAAAAATTTTTAATGTTTATTGGACATTTAATTCTGATTTTAGGTAACTAATTTTTTTTTTATTCCTTTTTGACTGATGAGAAGAAACCTCCTATAAAATTTACTGTGTATTTGCTGAACATGTCCCTTAATATTATCCACTTAATTGACTTAAATTTTTTTTTACACAACATTCATTTTGCTCTGCTGCAACAAATTGCAGTTGCCATTCATTGTGAAATTTCCAACATATTTTCTTCTACTCTCTTTCTTCATAAAATACTCAGATAAGCAAATTACAAAGTTATATCTGTGTCAAAAAAACAATGAGAACTGAGTCAGTTCACTGACACCAAGATCAGTGACAGAAACAACACATGCTACACCCAGCACATTACAATAATATCTTACCCAATACCGCAGTTAAAGGGAAATATAGTCCTACCAAAAAAATAAAGTTGTGGTTAATGGGAAAGTATTTTTCACTGCTTCTGTTTAGAATTTTCTTTAAATTAATTACAATGAAATAAAATGAAAAATTCATTTCCTCAGCTGGACTAGCCACATTTCAAATATTCAAAAGCCGTACCTGGCTGGTGGCTAGCAAGTTAGCATAGCTGTGTAACATTTTTTTTCAAGCTTTGGTTCACAGCCAACTAATTTAGTAGGTAGACCACCTTTAAGAAAAAAAGTAGAATGAAATAAGCTAGAATGGAAATATTATTTATCGCATGTAGTAAGGGTACGTATTTTTTTGTGAGACTTATTTCAGAATATATGTATGGACGTGTGGGGAGGTCACAAAGTAAAAATATACTTCTTACTTTGGAGTACAACAAAAAGTTTTTAAAAATCACATCTCTGTAGCACGTAGAATATTGCCTTCCACATAATAGGCAAATAAAAATATTCGTCAAATTGAATGGTGACCAGTGGCGCATATGTGTAAGATGATGGTTTAAAATGATATGTTTTTTTAAATGCTGTTTAAGTTTTTCCCTATGCAGCACCAGAGTTTCAACAGCAATCAGGAGAGATAGGTTAGGTCATATTATGCCAGACAAATAATTTGGACTAGTCTGTGGGAAATGAGGAGTCCTCCGAAGGATTTTAAGCTAAGGAGCTGTGTAAAAAATTGTTCTGACAAGGAACAGTGCCTAACATTACTTCATTTCTTCCATTATTTGTTAAGTCTGCAGCATTGCCTCTGCGGGGTGCTCTCTAGGAGAGTTCTTTGGACCTGCCATGCCCCATCCCTCTAGCCTATCAATGTAATTTTCTCTGGTCCTTCAAAGGATGCCTGAACTCATTACTTTATATTTACTTTATATTTACTTTATATTTATGTTAATCAGACAACATAAAATATTGACTAGGGAAGTGGATTAATCAGAATAACTGCTTCTCTGGATTCTAATTCCATTTTCTGGGGAAACAGAAAAATCACTGGTTATGCTCCAAAGTTTTTACCACCATTATTTATTTATTATCTCTCTAAAATAAATAAATCTTTAGGGGCTCCTGGGTGGGTGGTTCAGTGGGTTAAGCGGCTGCCTTGGCTCCTGGGATTGAGCCCAGCATCGGGCTCCCTGCTCAGTGGAGAGTCTGCTTCTCCCTCTCTGCCACTGCCCCGTTTGTTCTCTCTCTCTCTCAAATAAATCAAAATCTTAAAAATAAAGTTTTAAAAATAAATCTTTAAAAATAATAATAATAAATAAAAAATTTCAAATATCTATCCCATTCTGTCATCTGCCCACAAATTTTGTCTGTGGATTCCTTAATTATTAACTTTCTGGTTTTATCTTTTACATTGAGGTATTCAACCCACCTAGAATCTACCTTAGGTATGTGATATTAACTAATGATGCAGGAGTTTTGTGGGATTTTTTCCGTAAAAGAAACTAGCATATTTACTGAACAGTCGTTAGCAGTTTGTTAGCCCTCTGTTCTCCTCCATTGTGCTTGTTCTTGAGCCATTTGCAAACCATTTTTTATTACAGCCATGCAGTTTGTCTTGATATGTGATAGGATAAGGGCCTCCTTTTTCATATTTGTTTAAAGATAAGTTAGCCCTCCAGGGACTTTTATTCTTCCATATAAGCTTTAGAGCATATTTCTTAAGTTTCTAAAAATTCAACTTGAACTTTAATAGTGATTATATTGAAATTTTTGATTAATTTGGAGCGAATTGACTATATAGACTGTCTCTCTATCTATTTAGATCATTTTCTATGCCCTTAATTAGATTAAAGATTGCTTTTTCTTTCCTCCCATAGAGATCTTGGGCTTTCCTAGCTATTGTTAATGGTATGTAATTTTTATTACATTTTTTAAATTAAACTTATTTGTGAAGTAATTGTAGATTCACATGCAGTTATAGGAAATAATACAGAAGGATAACATGAGCTCTTTCCCAGTTTCCCCCAGTGATAACATCTTACAAAACTGTTGTACAATATCACAACCAGAAAATTAACATTGATAGTCAAGATACAGAACATTTCCATCATCACCAGGATCACGTTTTTTGTCCTTTTGTAGCCACATCTACTTCCCTCCCACTCTACTGGCAAACACTGATCTGTTCTCCATTATATAGTGTCACTTCAAGAATGTTATATATATGGAATCATATAGTACATAAATTTTAGGATTGGCTTAAAAAAGAGAGAGAGAGAGGGAAGGAAACCAGAAAACAGACTCTTAACTATAGAGAAGAAACTGAGGGTTGCTAGAGGGGAGGTGGGTAGGGGATGGGTGAAATGGGTGATGGGTTAAGGAGGGCACTTTTAATGATGAGCACTGGGTGTTGTGTATAAGTGATGAATCACTAAATTCTACACCTAAAACTAATAATACACTGTTAACTAACTGGAATTTAAATAAAAACTTGAAAAAAAGCATAATTCTCTGGAGAATCAACCAGGTTGTTTTGTGTTTCAGTAGTTACTCCTTTTTATTGCTGAATAGTATTCCATGGTGTGGATGTACAGTTTGTTTAACTCTTCACCTGTTGAAGGTAGGGTTTTTTTGGCCATTACAAATAAACATTTATATGCAGGTTTTTGTAGGAACATAAGTTTTCATATCTCTAGGATAAATGCCCATTTATATGGTAGTTGCCATAATATGGTAGATGCATATTTAGTTTAAAAAAAAAAAAAAAAACCTGCCAGGCTATTTTCCAGAATTGCTGTACCATTTTTCATCACCACAAGCAATATACAAGTCATCTGGTTTCTGGGCATCTTCACCAGACTTTGGTGTTATCACTATGTTTTTGTTTTAGCCGTTTTGATAGGTATGTAGAAAAGTACAATCTCTGTAGAGGGCAATTGGCATTGTCTATTGAAGTTACAAATACACATACTCTTTTGACATAGCAGTTGCACTTCTAGAAGTCAGTTCTCCAAATGTACTAGTGTACATATGAAATGACTGTAAGAGCAAAGGAATAAATTTATATATATATATTATAATGCCTTTATATATCATATATACAATAAATACAAATCTCTCAGTGAGGGCTGGTTAAATTATGATATAGCAACATAATGGAGTACTACACAGCTCTAAGAAAGAATGAGGAAGCTCTTTATTGACTAGGGAAGAGTTCTAAGACTTAACTGTTAAAAAAAGTAAAATTCAGCAAATGGTTTTAATATACTACCATTTATGTAAAAAAATTGGGGAAAGAATATATATATATACACACACACAGTTGAGAATATATATATTAATATGCACATATCTATAATATATATACAAATATGTAATAAGAATATATATATTCTTATGTGTGTGTGTATATATATTTACACACACACATTTGTATATATACATAGGCTTGTATATTTTCAACTGTTTCTGGGAAGTGCCCAAGAAAGCGCTAACACTGGTAATTGTGGGAAGAGGGGAATGGGATAGGGACATGTTTTCTCATATTTTTATATATTTTTTGGTTTTGAGCCATTTGCATTGTATTGCCTATTAAAATCTTTGACTAATACAGACTTTAATAGCAATAAAACAAAAGTTAAAACTGCTCTCTGAAAATAATAAAACTAGCAACATGTATTTCTTTTTAAGCTTTGATTTTTCTTTCCCCTCCACCTCATTCATAAGGAGAAATGGTAATTTATCCTTTCAAATAAGAGCTTTTTTTTAACTGAAACTTCCTGTTCATTCTATGAAATAATGTTGGTAATTCACCTATATAGTAAACATTGACAACTTTAACCAATATGAACAAGAAGGGTTTTCATAAAAACAAAAAATTTAAAGAACTTTGAATTTATTACAAAACTGACAGTTATTTTCTCTTTCTGATTCTGGTGTTCCAGTTTCCAAAGGACTTACATTTTTCATGAGTAAGAATTTAAAATCAAGATTTTGGAATCTGTAGTAATACTTTCTTTTACTTTTCTTTTACAGCAACATGAGATTTTTGATGATTGCTTTAGCATATGCCATACCACTTGGTGTATTTGCTGGTTGGTCTGGAGTTCTGGACTTAATTTTAACACCAGTGCATGTCAGCCAAGTAAGCATTTTATTTCTTTATAAGTTATAGGTATTTTTAGTTCATTTAAATTATAAATATTGTCTTCATGTTCTTGGTTTAAACTTGAAGGCCTGGGTAAAACATTATCCGATATCATTGTTGCAAAAGCAAGATCCTTAGGAAATAAAAATAATATTGATTTTCTTCCTGGATTTTGTTGACAGCCATGAATTTTACATTTATTTGGCTGCTATTAATGATGCTAATAAACGGAAATATAGAGAAGGAAAATCTTCATTTTGTTCACTCCATCCTAGTCTTGCTTTATACTTTATAAAGAAGTTTAAGATCCCATCATCAACTATATGACTACTTTGTCATCTAATTTCTCACTTTCTCTCTGGTCTCAGAATCTCATTTCTTTAAAAATAACCATTTCACCTATATGCTTCAGGCCATGTATTCCTTTTCCGCACTTCCAGGTAGCATGGTAGAAAGGAGTAGAGGGCTTTGAAGGGGCAAATGGAAGAAATCCAGCACACTGGTGTGCCATTCCATTGCATGAGTGAGCAACAATTTGTCCATTCTACTTTTGATGAACATTTGGATTGTTTACAGTTTTTGACTGTCACAAACAATGTGTAGGAATGTTCTCATAAACTCTTGAAGTACCTCTATACACATTTCTGTTTGGATATATGGCTAGGAATAGTATATGCCTGATTTGATAGATGATGCCAAACTCCCCCAAAGCAGTTGTATCACTTTATAGTCCTACCAGCAGGACGTGAAATTTCTCATTGCTTCACATCTTTACCAACACTTGGCAATGTTAGTCTTTTTAAAGTTAGAAATACTAACGGCTGTGCAGTTAAATGCCATTATAGTGATATCTTTTTAAGTGTTTGTTGGATATTTGAATATCCTTTCTTGTGACACACCTGTTCAAGTCTCTTGCCCACTATTGGGCTGCCTTTTTCTTACTGATTGTAAAGAAGAGAGCTGTGCAGAAGGGGGCTCCCCAGAAGACTACGTGGGGTACTCAGCAAGTCTTGACTGAGAGATGGACTGTACATGTAAAGGGCAAAGCTACCAGAGGCTTAACAGAAAGACTGCTAGGAGGTATAAAGCAGAACGAATACAGTAGAGGGCAAGCAGTGCTGGGGTCTTAGAGTTCTGGCTCAGCCAGAATGGTAAGACCTCATTAAAACCTTGTTAATACCTTGGGCTTCTTCTGAGACACAAGAATCTAAGCCAAAATTTAGAATCAAGGACCATGCTCTAGGTAAAATAAGGCCTATTCTACTTAGACCCACAGTACACAAGCCCTGACCAAAATCGGCAGAGGAGACAATTTGGAGATTGAGTCCTACCAAGTGAGGGGGGCTTGGGAAACACTTTGGTTTCTACTTACTACCTTAATAAAACACAAAATTAAGCCTATACAAGTTCAAAGTGATCAGTTATTAACTGAACTGCCTACTACACAAAATGCAAAAATCAGCCATTGTAGAGAAAGATAAAGAGAATCCAGAATCTTTATATTGTGTCATCCACAGCATGTACCATACTGTTAAAAAAAAAATTAGACAAACAGGAAAATGTGACCCGTATTTACAAAGAGGAAGTATTGAATAGAAACCAACTCAGAGATAGTCTGGATGTAGCAGAGACCATAATGCAGAAGAGAGAGAGAGAAATCTTTGCTTGCTTGAAGTTTATTAATATGTATATAACAAATATACCATATATACCATATTGGACAGTGCAGATACAGAACATTTCTGTCATCATAGAAAGCACTGTTGGATAATGCTATTCTAGAAGCTTTATCATTATTCCTGTCACATTTAAACCTAGAATTGAATTCTGTGCTTTTTATAAGGTAGGAGTTCAGTTTCTTTTTTCCCATGTAGGTATCCATTAACCTGGTATTAATTTTTGAAAAGATCATGCTTTTCTCATTGCACTCTAGTGTCATCTTCATCAAAATGAAGTGCCCTTATGTGCACAGATGTGTTTCTAAACTACTTTTTTCCCTCTAGTCTATTTGCCTATCTTTTATCACTTTTATCTACCTAAGTGTCTCAAGTATTTTAGTGTTATAATAAATTTTGGTATTTTGTAGAATAAATATGTCCCTTTATTGGGATTTTGGCTAGAATTTTTTGAATCTATAAGATCAGTTTAAGAATTAACTTTTATAATTAACTTCCTTGTAAACCATATATTACATTTATTAATATATTCCCTTATGTTATCCTGTAGAAGTACATTGTCTGGTACAGTAGCTACTAGCCACTTGTGGCTATTTAATTTGAAATTTAAATTAGTTGACGGGCGCCTGGGTGGCTCAGTCCATTAAGCATCTGCCTTCCGCTCAGGTCATGATTGAGTCCCGCATCCAGCTCCTTGCTCGGCGGGGAGTCTGCTTCTCCCTCTGCCCTTCCCCCTGCTCGTGCTCTCTCTCTCAAATAAATAAATAAAATCTTCTTTGAGAAAAAGAAATTTAAATTAGTTGAAATGAAATAAAATAAAAATTAGCTTCCTTAGGTTCTATTTTCTCTAATTTCCTTTGGAGACCATATGTTATACTTTCACACTATATTCCCTATGTCTCTTAATCTCATTTCTGAATTTTCTATCCTTTTGCCTTTCCCTGCTTCAGACTGGATGTTTCATCTAGCCTTTCTTTCAACTCACTATTTCAGTTTTCAGCTCTAATATTTTGTTAAACTCATCTCTGAGTTGTTAATTTCAGTTATATTCTTAAGTTATAAAATTTTTATTTCTTTTTCATAGTTTCCAAATTTCTGTAGAAGTGCTCAATCTTTTACTTTTTTGAATTATCAAAAATAGTTGCTTAAAGTCTCATAATTCTTTGATCTAGATCCCCTGTGGGTCTTTTTATGTTTGTGGTATTCATTTTTGTTTTCTTATCTTTGGTGGTTTCTTATCTCCTTATGAGGTGTGCCTTTATTTTTGACTGAGTGCCAGACATAGTATATAAAAAGTTGTAGAGCTCATTTAAGCGTCAAGAAGATGTTATTTAACCCCAGAAAGAACTGTGTTTTTTCTTATAGGAATCTAGGAATCCAGTTTCAGGAATTGAGATTATTTAAAGCTGTGTTTCAGTCCCACAGAATATTATTCTCTTTCCAGTGTACAGTACTCTTAGGTATAGCCCTTCAAAGTCACCATCTAAAGGCTGAGGTTTTGGGGCGCCTGGGTGGCTCAGTCAATTAAGTGTCTGCCTTTGGCTTAGGTCATGATTCCGGGGTCCTGAGATGGAGTCCCACATCCACATCCCACATCTCTCAGCAGGGAGCCTGCTTCCCCCTCTCCCTTTGCTACTCCCCCTGCTTGTGTTCTCATGCTCTCTGTCAAATCAATCAATCAATCTTTTAAAAAAATAAAGGCTGTTTTTTTTTTTTTACAAGGCCACACACCCTACAATAGGCCCTGAACTCAAATTTTTTTCTTTCTTAGGGCAGCAAGGCTATTGATAACCCTCAGCACCTTAGCTACCTTTTCTGAAATCAGACACCCCAAAGGGAAAAGTGTCCCCAAATACCAGGCTTATCTTTTTGGATTTCCTTCCCATTCTGCATCACGGTTCCATAATTCTGGAATTACCTTCTTGGCCTTCTGATGCCATCAGATGGATTTTTCACCTGTATTTTCTAGTTCTCAACCAGAATATGAATCCAAATGTCCTAGTGCACCTTCACCATAAGAAGAAAGCCTTCCTTTAGTTTTCTAACTGATTTTTCTGGATGGCAGGTATTCCAAGCATGCTCAATTCCAAGAAAGAAAAGTGTAGCACCCATTTAAATGATTCTGATTTTGCAGATCTTATGCTTCACATTATAAATCCTGAGATGCCCTTTCAAGTATCTCTCTCTGTATAAACTCTGAGAGATAGACCAGAAATCACACCAGATATTAAATAAAGTGAAATTTAAAATTAAATGAGGAAAATGGGGTGCCTGGATAGATCACTTGATTAAGCAACCGACTTTCAATTTCATCTGAGGGTCATGTTCTTGGGGTCATGGGATCAAGCCCTGAGTTGGTCTCTGCACTCAGCAGGAAGGCTGCTTAGATTCTCTCTCTATCCCTCTCCCTCTGCGCCCCCCCCTTCGCATGCACATGCGCTCTCTCTCTCCCTCTCTCTAAAATAAATCTTTTTTAAAATTAGAGTTTTAATAAATTAGTGGGTAGATATTATTAACTAAAGCAGATGTCATGAACGAAGGAAGCAGAAAAGCACAATTGGCCTGAAAGGACCAGGATCAGTACAGTCAGATGCACAGTGGTTCTTAGCCTGACACAGGGCCCCACTCACCCAGGGGATAGATGGAAATGTTTGGGAGGGCCTGATAGCATTAAGTGAGCCTTAGACAATGGATGCTAAATGCTCTGCAATGAGAGGGGCAGTTCTGCAGAACAGAGAATTCTCTGGCCCCAAATGCCAGTGATATGAAGAAGAAAAAAAAAAAAAGAGATAAATTAAACTTCAGGCTGTTCTCTTTCTCCAGAGAGTACTTATCTTTGTTCTGGCACCAAATCCTGTTAAGTAATTGTATTACTTAGAGTAGGCTAAGCTGCTATGAGAAGTAGAATCTCAAAATTCTGAGGCTTAAGGAATTTATTTCTCATTTACATAGCAATCTAGGACAGTTTGCATAACAATCTAGGACATTTGTCCAGAGTTTGGATAGCTCTTTTCCTCACACTGATTTAGAGACCTAGGCTGCTTCCACTTTGCCTCAGTCCTGTCCCCTAGCACCTTGTCATTGTATGTGCGGTTTAGGCTGGTGATTACATCCTAATTCTAGTGGTCAGAAAGGGAAAGGAAGCGTGGAGGAGGCATACAGACGTCTTCCAGGTTCTCGCCTAGAGAGCACCTTCATTCTGCCCGCTTCCATTGAGAACTTAAGCGCATAGTCACATGTGTTTGACTGGCAGCTGGGACATATAATCCAGCTGAGTGCCCAGGTAGAAGATAACATTTCAGTGTATAGGTATAATGAGAAATAGGACTAGGAAAATAATAAACGGTAGAAGTTAGTTTGGCAGCTCTCAAGTGGCAGGTCAGGTTTGGACTTGGCCCTGTAACCACAGGAAAAGCCAGTAACTGTTTCTGAGCAGGAAAGTGGAATGATTGGTATAATTATTCTAGCAATAGTGGGCAGAATAGATTGTGGAGACCATTTAAGAAGCTATTACAGGAATCCAGAAGTAAGAAATAAGGTAATAAGCAAGTATGGCGGCCATGGGAAGGGAAAGAGGAGACAAAATGCACTGATATTGTTAGGGACACATGGAATTCCATTGATAACCACTAACATGTATTGAACATTTTACATGTATTAGCTTATTTAAGTCTGAAAAAAAAACCCTTTGTTATCCTCATCATATTAATGAGGAAACTGAGACTTAAGAGTATGAATTGGGACAGAAACCAAGTCATAGGAGGAGTTAAAGATACATGAGTGATGGGTAAATCTAGGCAGCATTTATAGATTGCTCTGAAAAAGTTTGACCATGGGGCGCCTGGGTGGCTCAGTTGGTTAAGCGACTGCCTTCGGCTCAGGTCATGATCCTGGAGTCCCGGGATCGAGTCCCGCATCGGGCTCCCTGCTCAGCAGGGAGTCTGCTTCTCCCTCTGACCCTCCTCCCTCTCCTGCTCTCTCTCATTCACTCTCTCTCAAATAAATAAATAAAATCTTTAAAAAAAAAAAAAAAGTTTGACTATGAGGGGAGGAGAGACATAAGACATTAGATAGATGGAGAATTATCAGGTAGTAATAACAGTCTTTATTGAGCATTTTCTGTGTGCTGACCACTGATCCAAGTCCTGTACACAAATTATCTCATTTAGCCATTTTATGGGTGAGAAGACAAAATTTGTCCAGGGTCACAAAGCTGCTAAATGGCAGGGTTGGAAATGTTTTCCCATGCGTGGAATGAGCTATATATTTGAAACCCAGCTGAAATTGTCTTTCAGCAGTCTCCCTAGGTGCTCAACCCGCATTTCTGTTGCTCTCACTTGCTCTCTCTTCTGTGACTCTTGATACATCTTTAATTGTTGCCACATGTTTGAGCGCCTGATTATTTGTTAGTAGTTTTCCTGTATGTTGGTTATATTTAAACTTCTTGAGGTCAGTAACCATCTTCTGTCCTTTTCCTATTTTCTTAAGAGTTCTAGTACAATGTAGTACATACTTGAAAACATTTGTTTGTGAAACTGATTATTTTGTTGATTTAAATATTCCAACAAAAAGTTAATCAAGGATGTACTTACTTAGAGCAGTTGTATTAGTCACACATGAATCCTTTCAATTTTATTCATTTTCTTAAATAATATTTTCTAGATTTGTTGCCATTTAGCTGTTGATTATATATTGAATTATACATGTACATAGAAATTCATACATATATATTGAATAATATATTGATTAGAGAGGATCTTTTTTTCATGCCTTCTTAATTGCAACCTCATAGTCTTATATTAAATGTGTCTGCCACTTTCCCCACAGGTAGATGCTGGCTGGATTGGATTTTGGTCCATAGTTGGAGGCTGTGTTGTTGGAATAGCTATGGCAAGGTGAGACTATTTTATGTCAAACATGTGAGTGGACCAAACCAAAACCAAAAAAACAAAAAAATGGCTGCTTTCAATAAATGCTAAAATTCAGGGAAAAATAAAACAGGCAAAGGTCAGAGAAGGGCACTTGTTCAGACTACAGGAAAATTCACATGCATTAAGAATTTCCTGCTACAAGAAACCTTTCTCAGGAGCAGTCTGCCCTAAAATGTTTTTGGAGGATGGAGATGTATTTCCAGCGTAATTAAGCTGCCTGTCTCCATATTATTGGAGAACAGCATCTACAAATGGAACCCAGAGAAAGATGATACAGTAATAAAGGCAAATTGAATACTTATCGAGAATTGAAAAGAATCGTTTGTAAGAGCATCTCTAGAACTTTCCATGAAAAGGAAGGATCTGATTAGCAGATATTTATTTTCGGTCTTTTTTGGCAGGTACATCCCTGTGTTGTTGTTTTTTTTTTAAGATTTTATTTATTTATTTGACAGAGAGAGACACAGCGAGAGAGGGAACATGAGCCGGGGGAGTGGGAGAGGGAGAAGCAGGCTACCGCCAAGCAGGGAGCCCAATGTGGGGCTCGATCCCAGGATCCTGGGATCATGACCTGAGCTGAAGGCAGATGCTTAACGACTGAGCCACCCAGGCGCCCCCCATCCCTGTGTTTATCCCATTTTGATGAAAAATGTACATAAAGACTTCCAGTTTCACCAAACTCCCTTTGATCTTAACCCATTATGACAACACATTTTTAGAATGAGTCAGAAGAAGTAAAAAGTCTCATTTTTTTTCTGGGAAAAAAAAAAAAGAATGGAAATACCACTCATCCAGGTGACTGCCTGTAAAACTATTCTTAGTGTTTCCAAGGAGATAATACTCATTCACTTCTCAAATCATTTACCTTGTTTCATGAAAAACAAAATTAAGCAATCAACTTTACCAGAAAGAGAAGAATCTAATTACATATTTGGGGAGATCAAATAAGATATGTAAATCACCTCAATATCTGAATACTTAAACATAATTGACAGAGGATAATATTATATCTAGACCTTACAGTTTACATAGCATTTCTGGGATAATGAAAGAATAAATTGACACTGTAATTTCTAAATCACTCTGAGGTTTTTATAAGTTCGGGAAATATAAGAATAAAATCTAAAAGCTAAAGAAGAAGAATAGGCAGAGAGCATTTGTAGGAAATCACTACATGGAAAATGAAATACATTGACCTGTCATATTTGACAGAATCCCTATCTAACTTTTCTAATTAAATCTCCAAGCCTATTATAGTGAGTCATCATTAACCAAATCCTATTCTGAGCACCAGATAGGTCAAAGAGGGAACTATCGTGTATCAGAAATGACATCTCACATGTACCTTTTGCTTTATTTTCTTTCTGTAAACCCTTAATTTTATCTATATAGAAATAGAGCTAGAGGAAAAAATGAGAGTGAGGACATTTCTGTTTTTAATTCATTGAAATGGAAGTTCTAAAAAATACTACCCTTACTTTGGGATCTGAAATCAATTGTAGCTATCTGCTAGGCCTAGAATCCGTTTTAAAGTTATGTTCATAACACCATTTGGGGGATCCCTAGAACAGAATCTCCTTATAGACATTAGTGCTTAGGTGATTTTTTTTTTTGGTAATTATGTCACTAAAGGCCACTACAAAATGTCCTAACAGTATAGTTTGATGGTATTAACCCATTTGAAAGGAGTAGGTCTACAAAAATAGCAGATCACATTGGTTAGCTTATTCTTGTGTGATCTTGCCCTGTCAACGTCCTCACTGTTCAACTTTTTTCAGTTTTGATTGTACCAGAAAACTATTTTATTCTCTCATACCTCGCCATCTGCCAGTCAGACAAGTACATTCTTGCAGCATACCAAAACATAAATCAAAAAAGTGTTTGGTGGGCGTGAAATTATAACAGTTTTTGGATTTTCTTGAGGGAAATTTCTATCAAGCTGTGGAACCTTTTTCAGAGTACATAAGAATTTTCTGCTCATGAACTTTCATAGTTGAGAACAAACTTAAGTCCCTGGACAAAAGATGCATCCATTTTTTTCCACCAAAAGATGGCATCAGCTGTCATAGGAAAGCTATTTTAGTCTCGATAACGCTTACAAATATGATTAACCTTATCACGTCAAATAAGCACAAAAGATAGCATTTGAAAGTATTAAGAAGGACAGTAATGTAATCACAGTAGAAATTAAGATCAATTTTCAAGGTAGAAAAAACACGGTAGATGTTATATTTGGGAAGGGATTGGTTTTTCAACGATAGGAACAATTCTCAAGGACAGAGTAAGTTGTAGGCACAACCAGAGAACTGTGCCCTGTACAGCCATCAGTTAGCAGACGAGGAAAAGTGACGGGCAAATAGAAAAGTTGCGGTTCATAACAATAAGCATCTCTGCCATTTGCCTTTCAATTTCTTGTTAATTCAGAAAAAAGCAGGAATTTTGAGAACTTAAAATGCTATGAAACATAAGTCACAACCTTTAGAGGATAGTATTCATTATTCCAGAGCTACACTCTTGCTCTCACGGAGCTTACAGTCTAATGGGGAAGACAAAAAATAAACACCTGCAAGAGCAAGAGAAATGCCAGTAGAGATCAGTGCTGTGAAGAAATAGGGTATGGAGACGGGATAGATGGTGAGGACTTCTTCCGTGAGCACAGAGAGTCTTAGTGAAGACTTACTGAGACCTGAACGACCTATGGGGAAAGCAGGAGAAAGGTCAGGAATGGGAGTAACCAGTGTTCCAGGCAAACGGGACAAATGCAAAAGCAACCATCGCTTGTAGGAGAAACAGAAGCAGGGCTGCCCAACGGGAGACTAGTAAGGCAGAGAGCAGATCATAAAGGAACCCGGGGGCTCCGGGGTAAGCGTTTGTACTCTCCAAGTTTGAATTTTGGGAGAGTCATCTTTGCCAGTTTATGTCAACCAGTTAGCCTGTTTTCTAAAACTAGAATAATATGGGGGTGCCTGGGTGACTCAGTCGTTAAGCATCTGCCTTCAGCTCGGGTCATGATCCCAGGGTCCTGGGACCGAGCCCCGCATCGGGCTCTCTGCTCCGCGGGAAGCCTGCTTCTCCCTCTCCCACTCCCCCTGCTTGTGTTCCCTCTCTCGCTGTGTCTCTCTCTGTCAAATAAATAAATAAATAAAATCTTAAAAAAAAAAAACTAGAATAATATGTGTTCATTATAGAATGTTTGGAAAGTATAGAAGAATACTTAACAAAAGTAAAAGTAGCGTTTAAAAACACAGAATCCATCCTGTAAGTTACAGATCTTGAATAGAGATCACATTTTGTGTGTTTTGCAAGAGGAAAAAAAAGATTTCCCACAAAGTAACGTTTATCATACACACAAAATGTACCAGTTAAAAAAAGTTTTGTCACTTGCTTTAGAAAGAACTCGTGGAAATGTCTTCAAGAAATTATTGTTTAATGGAAGTGTGTCATTAATTTAAATAGTATCTTAAAAATCCAGGAAGAATTATAATAGAACCTTATTTCTTTTCAGGTTTGCAGATTTTATCAGGGGTATGCTGAAACTAATTCTTCTCCTCCTGTTTTCTGGGGCTACCCTGTCGTCCACGTGGTTCACCCTGACCTGTTTGAATAGCATCACACACCTGCCTTTAACCACAGGTAAACACAGACAGTTTTGAGCTTTGAATAGATATTTTCAGTTCACAAAAATATATATACCCCAAAAGTAGGAATTTTTCTTGTTTTCCATAACTAATGGAAATAGAATAAGTAATTATACTTATAAAACTATAAAAATTATAAAACTAACAAATGTACAAAAATGTCTCCCACGTCCAGACATCAAACTATCTTCCCATTAAAAAGTTCAAGAAATAATTTAAAATATTTTCATTGGTATTTTACATACGGAAAAGAAGTATAATCTTTAGCCTAAACTTATATAGCATAGAAAAGCCTATATTCTTCTAAAATTCATATCAGAGCATTGATACAAAGATTTTTATCTTCTTCATAGTCATTACATCATTGTTAGCTGTAAGGAAAATGAACAAAGGCATAAAGCTATGTTTGAAGTATACACCAGTAAAATTCTTTCAACCAGCACCTATAGGTTATTCAGTCTTCTTACATCATTAATACAAAACAAAACTTACTGACAAATACCTATTGGAAGTATATCATAGGCAGCTTACTTAGCTCATCTAATTGACCTGAAATATTTATAGTTGCTATTGCATTGTTACTTAATAGTATCATGGGGGGGGGGTCTTTATTAGTTTTCTATGGCTGCTGTAACAAGTTTCCACAAATATAGTGGCTTAAAATGACTCAAATTTATTGTCTTACATTTTTGCCAGCTAGAAGTCCAACCTGGGTCTCACTAGGCAAGAGTCCAACTCTAGGGAAGAACCCACCTCCTTGCCTTTTCTAACTTCCAGAGGCTGCCCACATTCCTGGGTTCGTGGCTCCCTTCCTCCATCTGTAAAGCCAGCAATGGGTCAAGTCCTTCTCATACAACATCACCTGCACCTTTCTTCCAAGTCACATCTTCCTCTGAGCTCTCATCTTCTGCCCCGCCTTCCACTTGGATCCATGTGATTACATTGAGTCCACCCAGATAATCCAGGATAATCTCCCAATTTTAAGGTCGACTGATTAGCAACCTTAATTCCATCTGCAGCCGTACTTATAGGTAGGCTAAAGGAACCTTTCTCTCATGGAGTCCCCATAAAACATACATTCCACTGGGCAGTAGGACCCTGGAGAGCCACTTTTAGACTCTGGTGTGCTCTTACCCATGCAAGTACTTGTTAAAATAAATAATCCTACATAATCCTCCAGTCTACCTTTATAATAAATAATCCCATAATTAAACACATAATCCAGTAGGTGGCTATTACTTGCAAACGGATTAAAAAATCTGCAACTTTAGCAGTCTTTTGTTAAAGGAAAAGAAGGAGCAATAACAGAGCTCTCTTGGTCTATAAAATGATCTGTCATAGTATCCCAATTTGTACATATGTGCTCTGTAATAAAATGACCAGCAATTTATATATCAGAGGCATCAGATTTTTCAGACAGCCTTTATTTTAGAGTTCCTACCAAGCCAGCTTCTCTGGAGTGCCACGGCAAATTCACAAGGGCATCATGGGTTATTTTAAATTTCTGAAGGAAACACAGAGATATTCCACATCTGTCAGACACTTTGTGAACCTCTAGTTCGAGAGAGTTCCCAGTTTCATCATTAGATCCCTGTGGCTTTCTTTTTTGATAACATCATATCTTTGCAAAGTTTGGTTTCCTGCAGTGGCTGTGATAAAAAGTAAATACTGCACAAAAATCAGGTCTGATTCTCGGATTTGATTCCAAGATTTGAGAAGTCATGCAGTTCCCATCAGATTGCACGTATCTCATTAGTCAGTGGTTGTGGTTATTTGAGACTGAAATAAAAATACATTTCTTTCAATATATGGGTATTATTTTTTAAATGGCCACTAAATTGTTAGGACATATATATTTATTAAATGGTTTGGCCCCGACTATGTAATTAACAGAACTGTTAGTTACTTCTTTTGGCCTTGGGCACCATGAAAAAATTACTAAGGCACTCAGTGTGCTGTGAAGACAGGTTTGGAAATTTCTGCCCTGTACCATCCTGCCAGGAATCCCTTTCTTTAATTTTTATTGCTTTGCCTATAAAGCCCAGTTGTCCAGAGTAATGGTTTTTGGATACTGTGCACTTTTTATATACTAACATTCCTGTATTAGGGTTTTTGAACAATTTTGGCAAGTATTCTGAACCAGAATTTTTTGTTTTATTTTATTTGGGTATAATTTCATAATTTAGCAGTTGCACAACATTCTGATAGAATAGTTCTGGTTTACAACTCTTCTTATTCATGGCATTACACTCAGATTTGTCTGTGTGTGTGTGTGTGTGTGTGTGTGGTACTGTATGTCAAGTATGTATCTGTTAGATTCTATAAGAACAAAGTTGTAAGTATATAATGAACACATTTTTGCCCTTGAATTGAGTGTAGAATATTCATTATAAGATATTCCATTCATTAAATTTTATGTGTTTTCTATTTGATATGATAAAATTAACAGTTTTATCTCTGGGTGGAGGTAATAAGAAAATTTCTTTTTTACCTCCTTTTTTGTCTAGATTTGTAATAATGAGCATGTTTTACTTTCATAATCAGAAAAAAGGTATGTATTGAAAACTATGCATCTTTATAAATCTTGAAGGAAAATTGATATAATTGACCCTGGTCAGGACTATGTTTTTCCAGTCTGTCCTTGAAAATAATTATGTTGGACAGAAAGGAAAGCAGAATTCTAAATTAAATCAAGGCCAGAACTGAAAGGTTAAGTTTGATGTGGCCATCTTCACAACTGAATTTATAAATTCTACTGTTACTTCCAATTGCAAGTCAGTTTTTAAATGTCACTTAGAAACTCCTGAAAGAAAGAAGAAAAAAAGAAACTCCTGGTAGATACTTTTTTAACTTATACTGCATTAAAAACTAGATTTTCGCATTCCTTTCCTGAATGATCATGGTGGGTGTTTTTTTCTCTTTCCTGATACCACCTAATAGTTACTTGAGTGTGTTTCTTATCTCCCTTACCAATCTGAAAATCTGGAGCATGGACTTGTGCCTTAGCAATTCTGACCCCAACTCCCGCCCTACTACCTAGGACAAGCCCTGAGTGATGAATGAATGAGTGAGTGGGTGAGTGGATGGATGAATGAAGTGTATATTATCTCCATTTTGAATCTCAGTGGATATGACTTGTTGCCGGTAATAGCAACCATGGCCACTCTGTTACTCAGCACTAGCTGTAGGCAGGCAAAAGGGCACATTTTAATGGAACAATGGAGAATTTGAATCATCTGTTACAGATACTCTTACTGCCTTTATAAAAATCTGACCTAATTCCTTTTAAGTAGAAGAGGTTTCATGAAAGGGAACTTACTACAAAATCTAATTATAGACAGATCTAGACCTTTAAACTGATATTGAAAGCCAGTAATGGCAAATTCGTATTTCTTTTTTACCAGAGTCATTCTTTTTTTTAATGAGGAAAATATCTAGTCTTCTTCCCATTTCTAGTAAATTTAGTATTCCTGTTATTACTTTTAAATATCAGAAGAATCTACATGAAAAGTGTGAAAATATATGCATTAATTATAATTGTTGACATAATAAATTAAAAGCTAGTTAATTTTGTTCAACCATGTGTTATAAGTGCTGCTACTACTAAAACCTTCTGGTGCAGTATTTTTTGTGATCTACTGATCTTGATATTATTGTTTCCATCTCTATAGAAGAAAAACTGGATCATTCCATTCTATCTAGAGGTGCACTGTTTTGATACATGTACTTGCTTATATATATCCCCTTGGAGGCTATCAGCAGTATCCTTTTATTTCCTTAAGGAAATTCAGTATTTAAAATTCTATTATATCTTTATTAATTGAAGTGTCTTCAAAACAGCAAATAAATTAACTCATGACTAGATAATGTGAGTTTCAAAATCTTGCAGCTTATTCTATATACAAAATTATGAAAAGACATTTTTCACCTTATCTGAAAAGTAGGTATTAAACCCTGTTAGCCACAGTTCACACAGTCATTTTTCACTGAACAGATAAATGCTTTGAAAATGGCATTTTGAAAAATGTTAGCACTTTGATGTTGAGTTTGCTGAAACAATATAATTTGAGTTTTAGCAGAAGTTGCCTTGGGAGGTTCTTCATCTAATTCAAGTTACTGGAAGACCACAGTGGCAAGGTCAGAAACAGATAGTGAGTGGGGAGTAAGGGGGGGCAGATAAGCTAGATGTGAGCCCCGTGAGAGTGATAGGTGACTACAAGCTGACTTCAAGAGGCATTTGAAGAAAGAAAACATACTCGGTTTATTGAAAGGCATGTGACATGTATAGGCTAGAGAGTGATCCTCTTTTTTTTTTTTTTTCCAGTTTCGGCATATTAACAACTTTTTTTATTTTTGAATTATCACAAACTTCAATCAGAATACTTTAAAAAATATTATTCTGCATGCATTTAACAAATCTGACAAAGGACAAGTACGCAGCTGACTTGCATTATACTATGAAGTTTTACCTGAATGGCCCGCCAATTAACACAGATTTAAAATCATTAAGTACAGGTAACAGTGAAAACTTCAATGCATTATTCTGCTGGCATCCTACCACTAGGCACACATTCATGTAACACTGCTAGCAATTACCCTGGAGCACGGGCAGAATGCGGATGGAGGAAGCTCCCTACCAAGCAAGTTTAAGGGATTAAATGTCGTTGACGTCGTTGTTACTACTGAGGACAAAGCTGCTGCCTGTGGAGGGGGGCCCTTCATCTTTCACATTCCCCACCCCCCTCACTGTCCCTCTCTCGTCAGAGTCGTCAAACAGCTTCTCACTGGAATCCTCGTCGTCGAACAGCTTCCCGTTGGAATCATCCTCTTCGAACATCTTTTCGTCCACGTCTTCATCTTCCTTTACCTCTACTCCTTCTTCCTCCTCTTTGTCATCCGAGTCTTCGAGCATCTTCTCGTCAGCGTTTTCGAGCCCCTTTTCGTCTGCGTAGTCTTCGTCCTCTTTGTTGTCTGACTCATCATCAAACACCTTGT